TTTGATAAAATAAAGCTGTGTTTTTACAAGTAAACACCAAAGTTTGACAAGAGAACACTACTGTTTCAAATGATCAGACAGTCTTTTGACAAAACAGCTCCACAATTTGACCAAATAGCGCGACTAGTTGACATAATAGGACACATTTCAGAGAAGCCAAAACGACATTTTGACATGATAACACTACTGTTTGAAATAATTAAACAATGTTAACACAAGTCAACATCACATTTTAAAGAGATAAGACTATTGTAACGCATAATAAGATAATCATTAGACAAATTACAATGGCATTTTAACGCTTATATTTAACATAAAAAGACGCTTTCTGGGCAAGATAAAAAGAAATGTAATAACATGAGGCAGCTATGGCGTTCCATACAAAGGGTGGGCATTTGTGTTTCTTTTTCTAAATAAAATGGCTATTTTGACAGTCACATATGTACTTATTATTTGGTTTGCTCATTGCTAGCCTAATGAGATGTTACTTTAAATTCGCACAAATACTTTAGTAAAACGGTTACCATTTTTTTAGAAAAGGTTACCAGGGCAGAGTGTTTATCAGAACAGAACAGATTTCCGTCAGTAGTATATTTCATTCGGGCGATTCGTCAGAGTGGTAAAAGCAATTTTATCTTACGGCGGATTTACTAAGGGCGATATAACGGAGTAGTGTTTACTTTAGGGCTGGTAGGAGTAACGACAGCGCAATTCGGCGGTATTTCCGTCCGCAGAGTTACATTAATTTTTATTGCCGGGTGGATAATTATACCTGCGGATTTTCTTCAGCAAAAATTTAATTTGAGTTAAATAATAACGGCGGAATATGGGACAGGTATAACGGCGTAGTGGATAGTTTTAGTGGGTATTTGTAACGGCGGATTTCTGTGATTTCTGTCAGTAGTACAAATTTCAATATATTATATAGTAACGGCGGAAAGGACCCATACCGCTTTTTATCATATGCTTTCCGTAATAACAACATTCAAAATAGAAATTACCTTCTACAATTCGATTTGACCCCATTTCTACCCTGAAGATATTACCTATTGAGCAGAGCTCGTTAAACTTTAATTTCAGCAAATAAATATTCTATCATCATGATAGAAGAATAAATTGTTTATCAAATTGTAATTAAAAGAGGAAAAGATAAGACACCTACCGTTGTCAAACAAACCCGAATTTCTAACGTCAGCTCAATCTATATTAACTACGAATGTCACAAAAAAACCAAAGTAAGTTGTACAGGTATTGATTGTCCCTAATCACAATTGCAAGATTACAATTCAGTGTAAGAATACATCTCACTGTACAAACAAAAGATTTTAACCTATTATTATTAATAGCCCCTATATCTTGTGATGTTTCAAAAACCGTTTAGCGACTTTGTTATTGAAATGTTTAGAATACTTAAGTAAATAATATCAACAGAAAGATGGCATTTAAGATATTTTGTTTTTTTAACGAAACGAATAATTTAAATCGGAGGTCTATTTCCCACTTGGTTTTCATAATTATGTCCATATAACTCAACGATCTAGTTATAAAATGAAAATGATTTTGTTAAGCTATTGTTTTCCAATATTTACCTGAGACACATTAATTTTCTTTAAGTCATTCGTTAGTTTCCGTTATTTGTTATGATTTTAATGATATATAGAACTCGAAACTTAAACCAACAAGTACAAATGTTGATGAAATGCAGCAATTGAGAAGTTCCGCGCAAGAAAAATGAGCTCATAACATAATTTCTACTCACAGGTTATTTTCTTTTTATGTTACTAATGGACGAGTGTTATGTAAATCATTTAAATTTGCATCGTATGTACTGTCCGTGAGAGAGAGGGGCCAGTTATTAAAAAAATATGCTAACAAGAATTCCAATCTGGTAAGAAAAGGAATTCGAATACAAAACAATAGTACAAAAGACTATGTATCATGACAGTAGTGCAACACTGTTCTGTTTGCGTCACTAGTCGGTAATATAAGATGCTAATAACACGCCGCACAACAACGCGCCGTTTGGCTTGCAGTGTAAGCGACAGAACAAGACAAAAGTCCCACAACGCGCTGTTTGGCACTTTGTCGTGCTGTCGCTAGCGACAACACGACGCACAAAAACGTTCTGAATGGGCACATACAATTTGATATAACTGAGCCAGACAGGTAATATACAACATTAAATTTCCCCTTTGTATGGTGGCTGATTTGGTACATTGCGCGTTGGGTTGTCTATAGCGAGAACGCAGCCTATATCGTTATCACCGTGAATTCATGAAGTTGAAATCGTGAATTTATGAAGTTGAAATCGTGAACATGTGATGTAGAAATCGGGAATCCATGATGCTGAAATCTTGAATTCCGTATGTTGAAAACGGGAATTCAGGAAGTTAAAATTGTGAATTCATGAAGATGAAAGAGAATACATGAAATTGAAATGACCCTACCGTCTTTCGTACGATTCTGATAAACTTGATGATACAGTGTATTTACAAAAGAAATGAAAATCAAATATATTGTCGATTGTCTAAAATCCATAGTGCTTAAATACACAAACACTCGCTCACATTTAAGAAAACAAAAATATATCAAATTTTCATGAAAAGTAGCATGTATTTGAAGGCATGCTACTTTTACATTTTATTATATAGAACAAGGGCAACATTGTCGCAATACTACACCAGTCACAAAAGCTTTTGATAGAGATGTGGGCATCATAGATATGCATATAGAAGATATGCTCTGTGCAATATCGGGAAAATATCTGGATATTTTATCATCTCAAGTGACCTTTGACCTTGCATATATTAACCTCAATTACATGTTTTACAACAGTAATTATGATAATGACCATTTGTGTTTCAATCCCTCAATAAATGATTATTAATTGGTCGGAATACACATATTCATATTTTTATCTAAACTTTGACCCCCTTTGGGTGACCTTGACCGCAGGGAGATAAAATTTGCATGCGACTCTCCACCTCACAATGGTGAACATTTGTGCCAAATTATTTTGAAATCCCTCTATGCATGTAGAAGTTTGCACCGGACAAGCATTTTTCAATGACCTCTAAGTGTGACCTTCAACTTCAACTTTGACTTAGGTCATGCTCATGACACTGCTTCTAATAGTGGTGAACATTTGTATGAAGTTTCATAAGAATCCCTCCATATGTGTAGGAGATATGCTCTGGACAAAATCTATATATTATGATATTATCTTAAGTGACATTGACTATCATTGTTAGTTACCTTGAACTTGCATATATTAACCCAAATTACATGTTTCACATCAGTAGTCATGATAATGACCATTTGTGTTTCAATCCCTCAATAAATGATGACAAAATGGTCCGAATACACATTTTCATAGCTTTATCTGAACTTTGACCCCTATGTGTGACCTTGACTTTGGCAAAAGGTACCTTATTGTTGCAAGCTTAACAATGATGAACATTTGTGCCAAGTTATATTTCAATCCCTTTATGTATGCAGAAGTTATGCTGCAGACAAGTGTTTTTCAATGACCTCAAGTGTGACCTTGACCTGATTATATTTTGTGCACACAGAACATTTCTATGAAGTGTTATTGAAATTCTTTCATGCTTGTAGGAGATACGCTCTGGAAAAAATTGGATGCTGCCCTCCCGACCGCTGGGGGGATTATGTTGCTGCCATAATGGCTCGGTAGATTCACAGAAGATTTAAGACATATCTCCGTTATTTAACATACATGAACAGAATAAAATGTTCGGATACCAATGTCCAAGGTTATAAAGAATTGTATGAAATTCAAACTCAGATTTCAAGTGTTTGATTGGTCAGAAACAAGCTCAAGATGTATGGTGTACAATGAAAATCCAAAGATTGCAGACAGAACTGACAGACAAAAGTTTTATAACCTTTGATCAAGATCTTAGGATTTTGGTAGGGAAAAACAGATTGCACTTTTTAAAACCATTTATTTTGGCTTGCACAAAATTATTGAATTTCGTCAGTTAAAGTACTTTAAAATTCCAAGAAATTTGGTGGTCTGATGTATGAAAAGCTTAAGTTGAAATAAAAATGATTAAATATAAACTCTAAAATGAGTCAACAAGATGCCACCCACATTCCACTGGTCTGTCAGTCTAAGACTGAAACTAAGAATGTAGTGAGCAATTATAAAAAAAATAAAGTTCGCCAGTGTATCATGTTTAATAGCATTTAAAATTGCAAATGTTATCAAACAAAAACAATAAATAACATGTACATGACACAAATACACAATACTTAGCAATCACAATCCACAATAGATAATACATTTTACATGTATTCAAATCAACAATTATTGGGGTAAAACATAATTATTTCCTTTAACCCTTTCGCTACCAGAGGGTAATCTATTTATTGATCACCTATTTGCCAGAAGGTTTTCTAAGAAATTACTATATTATTAATTGATATAATTATTATTATTTGTTATTAGTATTATAATAATTATATGTGTTTCCAAATCTGCTAGTATAAAATAATAATCGTCGATGGTTTAATTATCTAAATATTTTTTATTATTATTATAATTATCATTATTATAATTAATTATTATTATTATTACAGAAACGGCAAAAGTTCATATTGCAAATATGCCGAAAATAATAGGGACAGCATATGACAGTGAAAGGTTTAGTAAGACTGACTATATGATATTCAATGAAGCAAGCTTTGATCAATAGTTTTGGTTACTGATCAGGCAAGCTTTTTGTGGTCAATGCAAAGGTGATTATGACATTTGGACAACACAACACAATCGAGTTCAACCAATTTCCACAAAAGTAGGCCTGCAGGCTAAAATATTTCTTAGCTATTGGTCGAGCAAGGTTTAAGTTGTCATGTAATTGTGGTCCAGATTTAACAAGCACAAAGATAAGCGACATGTATTTCTAAATCTTCTTGATTAATGCCCAGATGAACATATTTGTCAATCATGTAAACAACTGTTGCATTGCCCATCAACCAGAAGATCAGCCAAACATCTGATAGTTGTTCAAGGGATTGTGGTCCCTTCTATAAAAAAACAATTCTATTTTTAGAAATGATTATCCCTCTCAGAAGTATAAATCTTTTTAGATCTTTATGTATAAATAAATACTCTTCAAAAAATAAAAGTAAAATTTAAATAACTAAGGACACAGCACAGCATGCAATAATTTATCAGTGTAAAGACCTAAATTCTTAAAACTATTGAAACACTGAGTCACTAGAAAATGCCCCGGCAATTCTAAACTCCTCCTCCTCAATACAACAGAATAATCTATGTGGTAACTGTTTAGAATAAGGGGCTGGTCTTGGCACAAATGTCCGGAGTATGTACTCTCTTGCTGAAGGTCTGGGGAAATTCGGCACTGAACTATTAAGTCTAGCATCATCATCATCTTCCATCCTGGCCTCACCCACATCTTCTTCATCCAGTATCATGTATGAAGCCTTAAATGAATCAAGATAACTATGTTAGTAATCCAAAGTGCTTTTGCGTAGCCATTTGAAAGGTCATTTAAGGTTAATGTCAAAATTCAATACCCCCAAATGAACCTCTTGTCAGGACCAAAGTTCAGGCTTTGTCCAAATAAGAAAGTTCTTGCTAATTAAGATGTTGTGACCAAAATTGACCATGAATAAACAGAGGTATGTCATGAACAGATAAAACTATGGCAATGAGAAATACTTATGTACTTGCATACTTCTGCCTAAACATCCTAAACTTCATTGGTATTTTATTAGTAAAATTATATCTTTCAACATTGATTATAAGGTTGCTAAAGATATGTTATGCTCAAAATTGATATTTTAAAAAAAACTGATAAATACTATATCTTTTGAAATGTAAAATAATCATCTTTTGAACACACACAGAGTTAATACAAATGTATGTAGCATTACTACACTCTCCAGGTATTCACAGTATGCTTAGATGAATACAAAATCTGGCAGTTTTTATAAGAATAGACCAAATTAATTTGACAAGTGCTAGGGAATGCAGCTCCCAAAACATAGTTAATACATTCACTTATTCAAACAAGCATTTGATAGTATTGCGGGCAATACAGTAGTCCCCTACCGGTCCCTCAAAAAGTTCTTTAATTGTCTTACACTCCTGTGTATTGCCATTTATAATGAATTTGAGGATGAAGTCTGTATTTGAAAATATCGACCACAAAACATAATAAAATAAGTTTGTCTATATCACAGTAATGTGTTAAGTTTCCATGCTTAGTAAGGAAATTATGTTTATACAACCTTGTCATATTATTACGATGTGGGATTTTAAAGTAAATCCTATAAGGAATGAAGAAGTTGGAGTGAAAATACCAGTTTCTCGAAAAAAATCTAAGTTCAAGGGGGACATAATTCTGGAAATAGTCTTGCTAGAGTATTTAACCTTCTCAAAAATGTCGAGTGATAATAAGAAACATATATATGAAGTTTGAAGTAGATACATTAGGAAATAAAGAAGTTATTTAAAAAAGACAACATTTTTTTTCATAAAAAATCTAAGTTCAAGGGAGGTAATATTGATATTTTTTGTGCTAGAGTTATAAACCTTGTCACATATGATGTGGTTGATGACCAGGATCTTATATTTAAAGTTTGAAGTAAACACCTTAAGAAATAAAGAACATATAGTGAAAAAGCTGAAAAATTTAAATCAGAAATCTTGAAATTCAGGCTATTTGTTGCCATAGCAACCAGAATTTTCAACATAGGAAGAAAAGAAAAAGATGTGCATAATCTCCAGACTGCCATCTACCCATATTTCAAGTTTCATAAAAATATTTTCAGTACTTTTTGAGTTATCACTGGATCCAGTTTATGTGTTAAATTTGCCATATTTTCAGACTATTTGTTGCCATAGCAACCAGAATTTTCAACATAGGAAGAAAAAAAAAAGACGTGCATAATCTCCATACTGCCATCTATCCATATATCAAGTTTCATAAAAAATATTTTCAGTACTTTTTGCGTTATCGCGGGATCCAGTTTTGTGGACGGACGGACTGACGGACTGACAGACAGACAGACGGACGGACGGACAGACAGACGGACAGACGGACGGTAAACCTAAAGTCCCCTCCGGTTAAACCGGTAGGGGACTAATAAGACATATTCGGGAAGAATTAACTAGATTTCAGTACATTTCTGCAGCAAAAGTATTTCACCCAAATATGAGCATAGAATATATCTTTAATATAACTATCAATATAAGTATTTTGTTAGTAAAATTATATCTTTAAATACTGCAGTGTAAGGATTGAAAGGGAAAGAATTGGCTATGATATGTAACAATATATATTTCACAAATACATACCAGTAATATATATTAAGTTTGTGATATATATATAAAATGCCACAACTTACTCTTTGAGCAGCTTGGAACAATTTGCTGATGATGTTCCCTGCTGGACCCATCGGTCCTCCCCTAACTGGTACCTCTGAGTTCTGTAAAATTGTTGCCACAAAATGTTCGAGTTCCTCCTTGGCGTCAGGTCGTTCAAGAAGCTCTGATGTAAACTTTGACTGCAGGGAGATGTTTCTTGCGATGATTATTTCTGCCTGCATTACCATTCTTATAAGTTCCTGTAAAATAAAAACATAAAAGAAAATTTATTTCTATCAAAAATGTGTAAGTTTCCTAATCTTAAACCATTATGTCCAAATGTCCTGGCCTACAAAATATTTGGCATTTGCAAATTATCATAAGCTTGTCAATTAAAATGCACATGAACATATCTTAAATCATTATATCAAAAATAAAAGTGTACATGGACATATTTTAATCAACTAGAGAGCATACGAAATATTCCTATGATCAGAAATAAAGTACAAATGGACATACAGTTGACTCTCGGTAACTCGAAATCCAAGGGACTAGGTATTTTACTTCGAGAGAAACGGAATTCGAGTAACGTGGAACTACCGCCATTACGTTGACTTGGTACATGTATATACATGTACCTGATTGAATGTGCAAAGAAGTAGGTTTCTTATTGTTGTTAGCGGCAATGCTGCAATATTTAACCATTGAAATGACGGTAAATCACTTTCAGGTACAAATTATAAATGAACAAAAATATATCATTCAAAATTTAATACATGCATATTAATAGTGAAACATAAACACACAATTATATTTGATTTAATTGATCATCGGACAAAAACGAAATTAGCAACTATCGTGAACCGGAAGTACAAATTAATGAATGCAGTATGACGGAACTTTAATTATACAAATATCATTTACGTTGATAATACACATCAATACCTAGGCTGTTATTTGACTAACACCCGTCAGACTGGCACGAGTCAACTTTTTTAAAGAAATGTAATTAAATTTTAATTTAGTTATCTAACTGTTAAAACCAATTAAGTCGTGAAACGGATTAAAGACACTTTTACGACGTGTTAATAATACATGATGACCGGCAATTAAAAATTACTATGAAACGTGTAAATCACGAGTGACAACATCTCACCTTGATGTCGCCGACCTTTGATCAGTCGGCTGTTTTCACACTTCGACTAATTTAGATGAAAATATGTGGACTTTAATTGGCGGGACCAAATTTTCTTTTCGACTAAACAGGAGTCTCGGTAAGTCAAAATTTGACCTAAGCGGAGTTAAAATACAAAGATAAAGAAGGAAATTTGACGGGACTTTAGAAATTATTCGACTAAGGCGGAATTTTGAGTAAAGCAATTTTGACTTATTGAGAGTCAACAGTATTTCTATTAGACTTATCAGAAATAAAGTGCATATGGAATATTTCTATCATTTAACGTGGATAAGGACATATTTTTATCAGATGAAGTGCACAAAGACACACATGCTTTTTTTTTATCAAATAAAGTAAATATGGACAAATAAAATCAAACAAAAGGAAAGGGATTTTCTGCTGTATACACATCCGCATACTTAACTTTTACTTTAATTTGATGTGTACTTTGAACTATTTTGCTTATTTGGCCAAATGTGAATGTAAAAGTTCACCAAGTTTGCCCGTTAGTTTAAGTAGTAAGAACAGAATTCAAGCCAAGCTGTCCAAAAAATGCTGACTTATAAAGGTTTTTCTACCAAAAGAACAGTTATTACTTCTTTAAAGCAGAATCAAAGTGAAAAAGATCAAGGAAAATTACCTCATAACGTTTAGCATCTTGATTTGGAGACCTGGTCACTTGTGAAGCTTTAACACACGCTTGTTCTATCACCTGCTTCAATACAGGTATTTTAGGATCATCTGAAATATTGAAGAGTACGCATGAGTTACTACAAATATTTGCGTATTGTATTATTTGCGAATGTAATATTTTGTAATATTTGCGTATGTTTTGTATTGTATTATTTGCATATGGTATGGTAAGGTAACATAAGGTAAGGTATGGTATGGAAAGGTAAGATATTGCATGATATTGGTATGATATGATATTGTTATGGTATGGTAAGGAATGGTATGATCTTGGTATGGTATGGTTTGGTAAGGTAAGGTATGGTATGATATGCTTTGGTAAGGTAATGTAAGGTAAGGTATGGTATGATATTGGTATGGTAATGTACGGTATGGTATGATATTGGTATGGTATGGTAATGTAAGCAACTGTAAGGTATGGTATGATATTGGTATGGTATGGTATGGTATGGTAATGTAATGTAAGGTATGGTATGATATTGGTATGGTAATGTACGGTATGGTATGATATTGGTATGGTATGGTAATGTAATGTAAGGTATGGTATGATATTGGTATGGTATGGTAATGCACGGTATGGTATGATATTGGTATGGAATGGTATGGTATGATATTGGTATGGTACTAAGTTAAGTAAAGTTCAGGTATAGTATGGTATGGGTATGGTATGGGAATGGTATGTATGTATGTCTTTTGTTTGTATGTTTGTTTTGGGTTTTACGTCCTATCAACAAAGTATAGGTCATATCGTGACGTTCCAGCTTTACTGGTGGAGGAAGACCTCAGGTGCCCTTCAGTGCATTAATTCAGGCACGAACAGGCACCTGAGTAAAACCACCGACGTTCTGAAAGCTAGCTGGAGAGCTACCTCACATGAAAGAATCCAAAGTCCCTGTCAGGATTCAAACCCACAGCAGTGAGGGGCAAGGGGTTTGAAGTAAATGACCTTAACCACTCGGCCACGGGCGCCCCATATGTATGTCTTAAGATCCGCATTCGGCAAAAAATGATTTAATTAGAAAATCCTGACTATATGCACCAGTGCCTTAATTTTGATGAAGATAAAATGTGAAAGGTTTGATTGAAATCCCCTGGAGCACTGAATAACTTATTTAGATCCAGCAAGTTGCCACACAACATTCAGCAATCAAATACTAAGATTTATCAAATATAAAACCTCTTTAAAGCCCCTAACCATACTTGTATTTTTTCTACATGGAAAGAATAATGTCACTGGCCATCAAATGCAAATCATTTAGTTCTTATTAATACCATGTTTACTCCTAAGCTCCTTGCATTGTCTATGTCTTTTCATGCTTTGCATGCTTTAATAAGAAAATACTGCTGTGACTCCTTACAGTTATGACATAAGATGACACGCTATACAGAAAAAAATATATAAACAAAGATGAGCCCAGTCACGAAAAAACCAATATAGTGCGTTTACGACCAGCATGAATCCAGACCAGCCTGCTTGGTCTGATCAGGATCCATGCTGTTTGCTTACCAACCCTATTACAAGTAGAGAAACTGATAGCCAACAGCATGGATCCTGATCAGACTGCCCGGACATGCAGGCTGGTCTGGATCCATGCTGGTCGCAAACGCACTATGTTGGTTTTGTCGTGACGCGGCTCATACATTGTATTGTTTTTCAATAGTGCAGGTAAAATTTTACTGATTTTATAAGGCAATGTTATATGATCCTTCCTGCTAATTAGCATATTACTTCTTAGTAGCCATTATAGGAATGCCATGGTATTTCAGATTAATAAGTCAAATTACAATTTTGTAAATTTATAAGTGAAATACAAAGATTTCTTTATTGCTTTCATTTGTCATAATACCTTTGGCTAACATTTTTGTATATTTCATGTAATTTACCTACCACAAATATGAATAAAGGCTTTAAATATTGATTAATGACAGACAAAATTATACAAGCACGGCCAGCAAAATCAATTGTCCGTATTGTCCAAGTTGTCCCACAGCCTGGATGGACAAGTGGTAATTTTTTTAATACTTTACTATATAAAAATCATAGGGTCAAGGTAAAAAAATGCTTATTAATAACATAAAAATGAACAGGTGAGTTAAAATCAGATTTTGCCAGCCTTGGACAAGTATTCGTTTTTTTTTCTTTCTCCATGAAAATTCCAGAAATATATCTTACCATTCTCCATAGCTTTTAGAAGGGCAGCATGTATCAACATGGGCATTAGATGAACTACAACGTCTGCTGGTTTTAATGATGACAGAAAATGTAGGACCTTTTCTGCCTCTTTTGTATCATCAAACAACCGTTTCTGGCGTCTAGCAGGAACCGGTCTGGCTGTCTGCCAAACCTCTACCCATACATTACCAGGAATCTGCATACGCTGGCTCAAATGACCTGAAACAAATTATATATTTCAGTTAAATACATCATTCCATAAAAGACATTACATGTACAAATGTTAGATCACAATACTACAGGATTGTTTAGAAAAGTGATACTTAGGTATCTTTCAAAGACAATAAAAGATAACCACATAACTATATAATTACAATGATGACCATTAAACTGCAAAGATAATCATATAACCACAATTATTATGGTAACCATATAACCACAATGATAACCATATAATCAAAATAATGTCCATAAAACTGCAAACATAATCATGTAACCACAATGATAAACATATAGTCATAATAATGACCCTATAACTGCAAAGATAATCATATAACCACAATGATTACCATAAAATCATAATGGTGACCATATAACTGTAATGATAACAGCCCATTCACTTCTTAACCTTGATATCCTATGTTAGGGGGAGGTTGGAGGGGGGGAGGGGGCTGCAATCAATGAGTTTTACTATGAATCTTAAGCATTATAAATTTTATCACATGCCAGTCATATTGAATTAATTGAATTAAAAAAACCCAATTTGAACCTAATACATAATTATACATCATATTAAAAGGAGCATTTATGAAGACTTCTCTGAAAAGGTACATTCATTAGCGTTCTCATCTATATGATGTGACCATTTTGGTGAAGTTGAAATAACTGTACCTTCAATTGTGACATCACCATTGTCATCTTCAACTGCCTCTTCAATCCAATCTCTAGGTGAATACCATCTTACAAAATCATCTAACACACATCCGGGGTTAGCAGCCTGAAAACATTTTATAATAAACCTTACATCACAGACCCTGTATAATACAAAATACAAATAATATGAAAAGATATAAAATGATACATTACAGAAAGAAAATCAAGCATATTGTCACCTTAGTGCAGTAATGGATTAACTCCTTATGTAATTTAATATGAGTTAACCTGTTACTGCACAAGGTGACATTATTATGAGGATCATTTTCCGAATAAAACACAAAAGATCTTTCTATTTTTCTGTTTTGGAAATCATTGCAGGAGAGGGGGTCTCGTATTTCCCATTGTAGATTGGTAAAATTTTTTTTGCTTTACATGCTGAAAAGATAAATTCTATTTGAGCCATGTCACGACAAAACCCACATAATGGGTTTGCCACCAGCATGGATCCAGACCAGTCTGCGCATCCACGCAGTCTGATCAGGATCAACACTGTTCGCTTACAAACCCTATTACAAGTAGAGAAACTGATAGCGAACAGCGTGGAACCTGATCAGACTGCGCCGGCTGGTCTGGATCCATGCTGGTCGCAAACCCAATAAATTGGTTTTGTCATGACACGGCTCATTTCTTTTTTTTTATTACATAAACACTATCAAAGGAAAATACATGATATTACCATCGAAAACCTTTCACCATCAAGATCAAACCAGTGATCATTCTCTCCCTATTAAACTTAGTGTGAAGAGAACATGCAACAAATTATTTTTTGTTAATAATTCTAAAGTACATGTAATTGGATATATAACCAGACCTGGGGATGATTACATTGATCAGTAATTGATTTAATTACAATTACTTTCAGATTTTATTGTAATTGATTATTATTGATTACTCAGACTTGCCTCTGTAATCAATTAAATTACAATTACTTTAAGAGAGTAATTGATTGATAATTGATTACATTCAATGTAAAGAAGAATACCTAATTAAGGCCACCCCTGAATTAAGACCGCCCCTTTAATAAGACTATTTTTTACAAGGTTCTTTATGTCAATGGTTACATGGTCCAGAGTTAAGAACAACCGCTTATCCACATTTAAGACCACCTGATAAATAATTGTTTATTTATAACCTGTCTTTTTGTACCTATGAACATTTACTAACAGAAAGTACTACAACAAAACAGTTGATCTTACTATACTGTAAAATTGAGTAAAATGAAGCTATCATATAAATGATTGGAAAAGAAACAAACTTACTTTAAATGACTCCATGTCTGACAATAAGCAAGCACTCTGCATTCTAGCTCTTAGCTCAGCCCCTTCTGCTGATGTTCCAAGTCTGTTAAAATATTAAAGAAGTGATGGGTGGGTAATGATGTACAATGTAGAAATGTAAAAATTTAAACTATATGTATAATCATATTCCTTATGAAAATCTAAACTTGTTTATCCTATAATAAATAGTTTTGACCATCCTCATGCTTTAAGAATTGTACTCCTGCCTTCTTACTTTCTAAATCTTATAAATGTATGTACACATACAATGACAGTTTATTCCCTATATCATATATATGGCAAAGCTTCTTAGCCTACTTCGTAGCATGTTGCAGCCTTTTTCATTAAAGGGCCATAACTTAGTCAAAAATCATTCAACCAGGAATTCCATGTGATATGCACATGTCCTTGAGATACAAAACAATCCTGTAAAGTTTCATTCAAATTTTATCACAGGCAGGGTGTTTCAAATAGAATGGTCTGGAAACGCTCTATGTAAATCCTACTCACTATAATTAAGCATGTCACAGTATATATATACGCAAATTATATAAGTGTTCAAGAAAAGGGCAAAAAATAAATACAGGATTAAAAATGAAAATTCTAACAACAAACTTGTGAAAAAAGATAAATATTTCATGTTTTTAAAGCCATGATCTGTTGAAAAAAACATAGATTGCTTGTTCATGATATTTGCCATCAAACACCAACTAAATAAACATCAAATATTTGTAAATAACATTGAACAATATTATAAAATATTTAAATGATACAATTAAATAACAATTTTCTTTGTAAAGTCAATTTCTATTCTGTCATTGAACAATGCAAAAGTTTAAACAAGAGCACAGCTACGCGGAGCATTATATGCCCGAAAAGTGTTATTTTTTAGTAAGGATGAAGCATTTGTAAAACATGGGAATATTTCATATATGAATAAATGTTGAAAATGAAGTAGAGTTAAAAGATACCATTCAGAATGCTTCGTTTTAGTTGTGAAGAGCATAACTTTGTCACTCAGTTGTTATGTATAATGTATAGATGTAAGTGGTGTTGGACGAACATATTCTAAAGAATCTACTGTTTGAGAATGTATTTAGTTCCAGCCAATCCAGCAAATCAAGTTTTTATCTTGTAAGTAAAAATGCTACGACGAATAGACGAAAAGACGCCAGGGGTATAACATAATATAAGCAAATTTTTAAAAGCATATAATTAATGTGCTCAATATAAGTGATCATCCTATGAAGTTTGACAGTCATTTGATATTGACCTTTGACATTGTGACCCCAATATAGATATGGATCTTTTATTCAATATAGGCAACCATTCTATGAAGTTTGAACACTGTTACAGTAAGCCAAATGGAACATGTGTTATGCTCCAGAAACCACAATTTTCAGTGTAAAGATCATTGTGACCCTGACCTTTGACATTATGACCCTAAAATCAATAGGGGGCATGTATTGAACATGGCTGTTCATCCTATAACATTTTACAGCTGTAGGTTGATTAATTCTTAAGTCATTTAGCAAAAACCGTTTTCAGTTTTAAGGTAATAGTGGCCTTGACCTTTGACCTTGTGACCCAAAAATTACTTAGGGGTCTTTTTCTCAATATTGACAATCATCCCATTAAGTTTGAACACTGTGGGCAAAATGGCACTCAAGTTATGCTCCAGAAACCACAATTTTCAGTGTAAAGATCATTGTGACCCTGACCTTTGACCTTATGACCCCAAAATAAATAGGGTCATGTATTGGACATGACTATTCATCCCCCTAAAGTGGGGGCACAAAAGTCATTCAATAAGCCATAATTCTGACAAAAATCATTGAACTGGGAAATGCCAATGATATGCACAACAAAACTTGGTAATGATCATTGTTTTTGACAAATATGAGAGAAAAAATGTCTTACTTAGCAAGAACTTCAGCATGCTCCTCTAACATATCTTCAGTCATGGGCGCCGGCTCTTGTGTAATTGGTATATACATTTTTTCTTCACAATTCACCAATTTTAAATCCTGGAATAAAGCAAGTCTTCCTTCTGGTTTGTGTGAATAACTATCCTTGAATGCTGTGTCACTTGACACAGATGCATTGCTTACACTTTGTCTCTGCTCCGAACCAGTCAATTCTCTAATCTGAGAATCAGTCAATGATGTATTTTGAGAACTAGTCTGAGAAATATTGACTGGTTCACATTCCATTTCATTGTCAGACTGGTTATCTTCATTATTGACAGACTGGTTACCCTCATTATCAGATTGATTTTCATCCTGCATCTGCTGCACATTTTCAGCAGTCTGGTTCCCCGCAGAAGTATCTTCATCTTTTTCACCAGACTGGTTATTTTCATCATCATTACACTCAAAGAATTCTTCTTCATCACTTGATTCACCAGAACTTGCAACTTTTTGAGAACCAGTCTTGTGTAATTTTTTTATTGCACTAGGATTGCTTGATTGTTCTGCAGCACTACAGGACATGTTTTCTGATGACTGTGCTTGATTCATGTTTGGATCATTATTCTGTAGAACATTGTTCTGTGGTTGGTTAATGAAACTATCGTCATGAGACATTGACCTTGACACCTGGGATGTCGAGGGGCCCCTGTACGGGGAATTTGGAGGGGAATCTGGCTCCCCAGTATAACCTTTATGGAGCTGTTCCCTCTTTTTCTTATGTTCTATACAACAGTTCAACATCTGAAAAATAGATATTTCAAAATAATTATGTATTTTAATAATGAAGAAGAATATAACATACAAATGAGCCTCGTCACGACAAAACCAACGTAATGCGTTTGCGACCAGCATGGATCCAGACCAGCCTGTGCATCGGCGCAGTCTGATCAGGATCCATGCTGTTCGCTTACAAACCCTAAAACAAGTAGAGAAACTGATAGCAAACAGCACGGATCCTGATCAGACTGCGCGGATGCGCAGGCTGGTCTGGATCCATGCTGGTCGCAAACCCATTATGTTGGTTTTGTCATGACACGGCTCAAATAATATTACCTAATGCCTTCTATAAATACTAATTCCTTATTTACAATTAATGGTTAAGATTAAGGGTATACAGCATCATTACTGACAAAATATCAATTACATATTAATTAAACTTAAAAATCCCTTATGTATGCTTGTGATTGGTGATATCTGAAGTGTGTTTTTTTTATTATTTTTATTCTGTTGGATTTAACCCTTAATCTGCTGGACTTAAACGTAATTGGCCTTCACCACGAGTATACATCCAGAGCTAGTCTGCAAAAATGCAATTTTACCAGGCTCTATTCTGATGGCTGTCTCATTCAAATTTTCATCTTGATATTCACAAAGTTGATAATGGATGGTTCCAAAAGTGGAAGCTGGTCAAGTCCATATAAGAAATTCAGCAGGCTAAGGGTTAAAGTCACACCAACACTGTAAAGGTCATATGGTGACTTTCAAGATTTTATGCATGAACCACCTGCCTTATATTGATGACCATTATTCTTTCAATTTAAATACTTTGGTACAATTTTCATCAGTAACTAACATACATGTCTGTTTAACAGTTCATTATAATATAAAACACACTTCACATTATCCTTCCAAACAAAACTTCTACAAAATGAGATCATGAGTTTCACAAAAAAAGTTTGGCATTAATATTGTCACAAAATTATCGGATATAAGACACATTATAGAATTATAGTCACTGTAAACCATAGCAAAAAGGGAAGGGGCGGTGGCCATGTAGTTAAGGGGACTGCCTCTAAACTTTCATATTAATAGGATTTAACTATAATAGGATTTAACTCTATACAAGACTGGAGTAGTACCTTGGAGAAATCATGATCAATAAATAGACAAATATTTATTTTTTTCACCAATTCTTACATTATCTGTTCATTAGCATACATAAATTGGTGTGAAAAGATGAATAAGACCTTCTATAGTTCTTTCTGTTGGGTGAAAAGGCAAGATTTTAGCATTTTATCATTCAAGCGCCTTGTCTGGTATATACCAAAATACAGTATTTAGTGTGGTGCTCCAATCCTTATTTTAGTCTTACTTCCCCTAATATGTGTGCAAAATTTCAAATCCTATGCTCACTCTGTGCTATTCAGAATAATCATTTTAATTTTGCATGATGGCTTAAAGATGAAAATGCTTTTAGTCACTATAAATTCTATCTTTTTAGAATTTTGGACCTCTTCTAAGTAGACATCCAATAAATATAGAAAAATAAAAACACAAATATTAATATACTATTTAAATTACCTGTAATTTCTGTTGGAGTAAGCAAGATCCCAAATTAGGTGGTCCTTTTTCTATCCTGAAACAAAAAAAATCAGGTTTAAACATGTTTAAACAGGTAAAGCACTTTATTTTTGTTTCAACTCATATATAAAATCAAGCTTACAAATCAGCAATCTAAGAATTGACAAGTTTTATTCTGTGTTTCTTTTTTAAGTTAACAAGAATATTGATCCACATCAAAAGGCACTTCCAAATTCCCCCTTGAAATGGTGAAAACTAAAGCCCTTCTTTGCTGACATGTAGGAAAATGTATTTTTAGCCAACAGACTTTGACCATGACTATATTAATCTCTATTTTTGTCAAAATCCCTTAAAGGAACTCAACTGACATCAGCTTCTTGATATCCAAAACCAATTATTAAAGAAACTCCACTGAGGTTAATAAGCCTCAAATTTTTCTTTTTAATTTTTCACATAGATCAACATGAGCACTTATAACAGAAATATAAATAAAATATAACTAAGAAATATACAAGAAATACATCGAAAATCATATGTTTGTGCTATTCTCTGTCTGATTCTAGTGAAAAGCATTTAAACGCTTTTCAATCTTGGGTCATCACTATTATGATAATTATTTGGAAAAACGGAAAGTGTTAATGATCTGAAATTTTTTACATAAGTTACTAGTATATCTAGCAAATGAAGCACTACAAAATAATATACAGCACTAACCCCTCAATAAAGAAGTTATTCTCCCATCTATATCTCATCTCTAAGATAAATTCCTGCCAGATCTGGGCCACAGCACACACACCGCCATGGTTATGGTTCAACACACACAAGCATATAGCCAATTTATGTAACAGACCATCAACCTGTGATGACTTTAACTGCTTAGGTAGTTCCTGAAATACAAGAAATTAAATACAAACTTATCTATTAACAAGAGCATCGCAAAGTATTAACGCTTGTCTTTTAAAAAAAATCTAAGTAAAAAAAGGGCATAACTCTAAAATTATTGCTTTCAGAATTATGCCCATTGTCTAACAACTGCACCTTGTCATGATAAGCAAGTATTCCAAGTTTTGTGTTGATATTTTTTAAAATGTATGAATAATGGGCTAAAGAAAAGTTATTGTACGACCAGGACGAAGATGCCACAGCAATCATAATACATGTAGCTTGGCATTTTCTTATGAAATAGACAAGGTAAAAATGAGATGACTTGAAATATGTTTTTGTTTGTTAGTTTTAGGTTTCACGTCCCATCGACACAGTATAGGTCATATCGCGACGTTCAAGCTTTACTGGTGGAGGAAAACCTCAGGTGCCCTTCCGTGCATTATTTCAGGCACGAACAGGCACCTGAGTAGAACCACCGACGTTCCATAAGCTAGCTGGATAGTTGAAATATGTTTTGGTAAAAAATCCTGTATGTTTACCCCCATACAATTCACTGACTCTAAGACTGACAAGTTTAGCACTATCTATTCTATGCTAATCCTTTATAACTAAATGTAAATGATAAATTTTAATGTTATAAATAGAGAATGATATTGAATGAGTGTAAGTTTAATACTGAATGTTTTGAACGAGTTGAATAAAATTATAATATGGCGAGCATAATATTATTTTATTCAACAAGTTCAATAAATTCGGTAATGAACTTACACAAATTTAACATTTCTTTTACTCATATACCAAAAATAAAGACCATTTGAAGTGAAAAAGAACCAATTTTCATTGATGCCCCTAAAGTGTACCAGTAACATTTTGCTCGTCTCAACGTTATGTTTATATAACACAAATGATGTCATGTCAAAATATATGCATGGCTGTGCAATACTATATTTACAGAGTTGCAAAAACAGCACGGGTATGTGATAAACCTTAATACTAAACTTTATTGCTTAACCCTTATACTAACAGTTACCCATAACATTAAAACCTTATAGTTAACCTTAATATTCAACCTGAAAGCTAATCATTAACACTAATGATATAGGTGGGTTATTATTACTAACCTTTGGTGGTTGTGGCGTGGTCTCTCGCATATCATCTTCTTCATTATCTGCAGATATTGGCTTAGCTGCATCAGGGAACAAGAACTGAAAAATACATGAGAATGAATAAAATTATCAAATTTTTATACAGTCATATTGAAACTAGAGCTGTAACATGTGTGACGAATTCCCTCACCATCTCTATTACATAGGATTTTATGAAATCATTATTTTTGAAGGTGAATCATTGAGTATTAAGTAGGGATGTCATCTGGAGCCGAAACGGCCATCTGGATATCCGAATCAAACATCCGGATGTTCGGATCGTTGTTATATTCTTATAGTTGGCTGATATGATGTAACCATTTTTTTCGCGACCTTTTTCAAAGTGTAGTATTTCGTTTCATTTCCTTTTTAATTGAATGTTACACGTGTATCAAAATAATTTTGGTATTGATTTTATTTTTCTATATAGAATATGACTGTTACTTACGATTTCAAATGAAATGAAAATCATCGCCGATTGTCTAAATTCCTTAATTTGTGTTATAATACACAATAACACTTGCTCACATTTGTGAAAACAAAATAAAACCCGTAAAAAATTAAAAGTTTCCATTGTTCAATAACATGCATACAATTTACACACGATGACCTTTGACAGGTGTGTAGCGGCTTTTCAAAAGAATCTGCCAATCTTTGATGTTTACCAACATGTAGACCTGGCTGTTTGATTCGTGTTCATAAGTGAAAAAACTGTGAAAAAAATGTTTTTATAAAAAGGCACATGTTTGATTAATACTAAAGGAACAAGCAATTATCATAGTATTGCAAGCAATCCATAAGTCCCCTACCGGATAGAACCCCATCAGCATTCTGAAGGGCCATTGGCCATTCACTAATGTGTAAATTTTTCTCTATTTTAAGTAAATTTGTTGGAAATGTTCTTTAAAAGTGATCACAGGAAAAAGTTTTTATGAACAGACAGACAGACGAACTGAAGGACACTCTAAAGTTAATATTTGAAACATCCCTGTTACCAAAATATAACATTTTAAAAAGCAAAATTCTTAAAGAGGAGATAACTCTGGAATTAAAGATGCAATTTCATAAAAAGTTTCAGCTCTTTTTGACTAGTCACAAATATTGTTATATTTGTCATGTTTTAAGCCTATTTGTTGCCAAGGCAACCAATATTTTTTCAAAATAGGGGGAACTGATAAGACCTGCATAATCTCAAGATTGCCATCTACCCATATGTCAAGTTTCATAAAAATATTTCCAGTACTTTTTGAGTTACCACTGGATTCAGTTTATGTGTACAATTTGCCATATTTTCAGTCTATGTGTTGCCATAGCAACCTGAATTTTCAACATAGGAAGAAAAGAAAAAGACGTGTATAATCTCCATACTGCCATCTACACATATTACAAATTTCATAAAAATATTTCTATTACTTTTTGCGTTAACACTGGATCCAGTTTATGTGTACAAATTGCCATATTTTCAGTCTATTTGTTGCCATAGCAACCAGAATTTTCAACATAGGAAGAAAAGAAAAAGACGTGCATAATCTCCATACTGCCATCTATCCATATATCAAGTTTCATAAAAATATTTCCAGTACTTTTTGCGTTATCACTGGATCCAGTTTATGTGTAAAATTTGCCATATTTTCAGCCTATTTGTTGCCATAGCAACCAGAATTTTGAACATAGGAAGAAAAGAAAAAGACGTGCATAATCTCCATACTGCCATCTATCCATATATCAAGTTTCATAAAAATATTTCCAGTACTTTTTGCGTTATCACTGGATCCAGTTTATGTGTAAAATTTGCCATATTTTCAGCCTATTTGTTGCCATAGCAACCAGAATTTTCAACATAGGAAGAAAAGAAAAAGACGTGCATAATCTCCATACTGCCATCTATCCATATATCAAGTTTCATAAAAATATTTTCAGTACTTTTCAAGTTATCGCGGGATCCAGTTTTGTGGACGGACGGACTGACGGACTGACAGACAGATGGACGGACGGACGGACAGACGGACGGACAGACGGACGGAGGGTAAACTTAAAGTCCCCTCCGGTAAACCGGTAGGGGACTAAAAAGTTATTTCGACGGAGAATTATCGTATCAATTTCAATAAAAGCTGTGATAATTAACATATTACTATTCTTAAGTGCATTTCTTTATTTGCTAATTTTATTTCTGCAGTTTTTTCATTTTCTCAAAATAAGGAGTCGACGGGTCCGTAAGCCGAAATATATGTAAAAAATAGCCTAAATAAGTATTTAAATTTTGACATAAAAATGTAAAATCGTTGCCGATGACAATCGCACGGGACTTAGAATATTCATCTTGAAACCTACAAAACTTAATTGTATTTGGTCACAGGAACTTGAAATTCTATCAATATTAATGATAATATCCAAAATATACCCCCTATACAGTATAAATATTTATAGTATATAGGGGGTATATTTGGATATTATCATTAATATTGGTTATTTGATAGAATTTCAAGTTCCTGTGATTTGGTTTATAACATACATGAAGATTAACAACATTCGTAATTATTATAGTAATTATTGATTTTTTTGTGGTCTGCAGAGATTATGATGTGTATTGTCAAATTAAGGTACAATATGCAATATGGTGTCAACACAATGTCTACTTCGATTATCTCAACGCATGTTCATGTATTTTTCACATTTTCTCAATATTCCGAAATATTTTATACGAACATCCGGATCCAAAAATCGGCTCCGGACACCGAATCGTGATTCGAACGTTCGGATATCCGGACTCCGAATGACATCCCTAGTATTAAGTATGTTAAAATGTCCAAGTAATATATAGAATTTTCAGTCTTAATATAAAATTGTTTGAACCAAGATTTTAACCAAGAGCACACGGGGTTTAATGATTCAATGTCATACTTGTACAATTTGGTCCAAAAGTTCCCCTTGTATCGGAGCATCCTTAGTCTTGCCAGCCTGTTTCTGTGGTTGAGAGACGTATGATGTTAGAGATGGGATGTTATACCCTACTGACGGTTCCGTTAACTTCTGTAACGCATTACTTATTTCTCCAGTAGAGTCTGAAATATACACAACACAATCTCTTCATGCCATAAAAAGATCTGTTTTTCATAATGGCACAATCACATTTCACCTAACAGTTTATGATTAAAGGAATAGGAATGGATGGATTGATGTCTGTCTAATATAAATATTCATCATTAAAAAAGAGGAACCATGACAGTTTTCCTATTGACATCAACCCTATAAGAGAGAAATTCGTGTTTTAAGACACTATTTTTTACTTGAGAAATAAGTTCATGGGCGCCGCCATTTTGGCGTTCTGTCATTTTCGCGAGACAGACGAGACCGAGATTGTGACGTGTAATACCCACTTCCGGTATAGGTGTATACGCTGGTACAACTGAAATATATCTTGATGAAGAACTTATTAATTTTATTGCGTACATTATATATTATTTATGAAAACATCATATGGAACTGAATTGCTTTAATTAATTAATTGAAGACGCCGCGACATTAATTATTATTTCTCCGATATTCAAGCTTGCTGATGACCACATGATTTAAGCAATGACTGCTTAATTTTCAAAGATAAACCATAAATTTAATTTGGGTACTATGAGAAACTTCTTCAAATTGACGATATATCCTTTTATTTTGTACTTAATTTTCGCTAGACAAGCTGTCCAAATAGGGTACATCGTCGGTTATGTATCTTTTTTTTCAGGTAAAATACCAACTAAATGCAATATATATCTACTTACCAAATTCCTTTCCCCGACAGATACGCATTTCTACTACCGTATATTTAATCCAATAAAACAAAAAAAATCATAAATCTACTTAATATTTAAAATGATTGTTGGTAACTGAAAAAAATGTGTTGCTATTTTATGACGTGCTGTAATTTACTACAGTATAATTTGACAGGTGTGGAACCTAATTCCCCCTAAGGTCATTCAGTTCACTGATGAAGCGTAAAAAAATAGATGTCTATTTCGTCATTAGAATATTTGACAAGGGTGATTAACCAATCAGGGCAACATTGTGCATGATCAAAAGGTCTGTCGGCACAGAGGCATACAAGGAGCAATAAAAATCGTCAGTACACAGTGTGACAGGAGCATTTGGTGCAAATTAGGAACAATTAAAATGGACAATGCGCAGTTTTAGACATAAGTAGTAAGAACCAGCAATTGTGTGAATAAATTATGCAAATAAGACTTTTGAGCAGCCAATAAAAATGATTTGCCTGCAGTTAATATTAGGCTACGATTACGATGCGCAGCATCATACGTTGACAGACACGTGAATAATTTACATTTCAAAAGAGTTGCTTATATTTTTGAAATGTGTACATCAATTATAACATATGTTCACACCTTTAAATTTGAAAGTCAGAATCAAACTGCAAAAATTTAATTATATGTACTATTAAGAACACGTTTTAGTAGGGTTTTTATAATGGAAGTGGCTAGCGTACGGGCCCGTACGGCTAGCCAAAAGTTTTAGCCGTATGTGAGTCACGTACGACTAGCAAGGACACGCTGTATTGGCTAGCCGTACGGCACTTTTCAAAATTTTATGGAAGTCGAAAATGCATAAGTTATTTTATGACTTAAAGCGAGGATTTTAACCAAGAAACAGCATTAATTGTCTTTGGATGTTAACTTTTTAGAGATTAATCGCCTTGATCGCTATATATATATCGATCTTTGTCAACGCAAGATGTCGAGAAAAAAAATAGCCTTTGCTTGCATTTACACCAATTGAAATAGTTTACAAAATTTTGATAATAATCCTTTTTTGTTTCATTAAGTTTAATTTTCGACACCTTTTATATGAAAAAAAACAACAACAAACACTGAAAATGATTGTTGTTAGGCTCTTGATAATTGCGACAATTACCGACGGTACTGTATAGAAGTTTGTCCATCAAGGAAAGTTTGCATGTTCCGTGAAAGGCATTCTAAAATTCTATTGTCAGTCCCTGGATAGGTTTTAATTAAGGCTGATTAATTGATTGACTGTGCTTTTATGTTCGATATTTATCTACTGTTTTGAAAATTATATAATTATTTTTGCATTTCACCGTTTTTTTTCATTCAATGTTCTTTTTATTTATTTATTCCACTCCGATCATTTTTTATTCGATCCATGTGCTTAAAATTAACAAAAATGATTTAATAACTCATACAAATAAAACAACAAATGATAAGCATGAAAATCAACAATTTTATAACTTTCAACTTCCATATAATTTTGAAAAGTGCCGTACGGCTAGACAATACGTACAGTGCCTCCTGGCTAGTCGTTCGTGACTCACGTACGGCTAGAACTTTTGGCTGGCCGTACGTTTCTTTATTTTATTTATTTATTTTTTTTTTTTTTTGATATTGTTACGTATTTTGAACCATAAAAAATCTCCTCTACACCTCCTGTTAAAAATTAAATTGTCTGGTCATTAATATTTCCTTACGATTCAACTAGATTTATCATGAATCTAAAGATGTGGGGAAATGACATCACGCGCACCTGTTTTTATACGGCCAATACACAAACATGGCCGCGCTTACTGATTTGTAGATATCGGTGATTTAGCGATTTAAATTTTGTTATCATTCGTTTAATATTATTATTTGGCGGCAGAAAATTTGCAGACTTATTATTTATAGTATTCTTTTTCTGAAATCAAGTTTTTATTCTAACCTTGTCTTTCCCTTTAATAATAATTTCCGTAAAAAAAATGATTAATAATAATTTCCGTAAGAAAAGGACTATTTATTAAATATTTTGTAAAAAGATAAACAAATCTATACTTCCAGCATAGGACCAGGTCAAGAAATCTTTCTAGACATAATATGGTAACTTAAAGATAATTATATTAAACAATTTGATATCACTGTCCTTGATGCTAGCGTATGGCAATTCACAATCAGAGCTGAATGTTAAGAGATAAAATTACAAATAAGTGCTACTAAAAAACTAAGCTTCAAATTTGATACAGGAAATATATATTTGAGCTGATTTAAGTATGTGGACTAGAACATTACCTCAAATGATAAGACATGAAAATTTATTAATATTATAATGGAATCTTACCACTTTCTCTCATTTCTGAACCAAACCCTCCAATCAGCTGATCTAAAGTCTCTTTTCTATGACAAAGTGCCAAGAAATTTATCAGATACTCTCCTGAAAAGGAAGGAAAAAAACTTTGACAATCGAGCAACAGAAATTTCTAGGTACATTTTCCTTACAATGATATACCTATTCAATAAAGCCATTAGAATTTGTATTTCAACATAGTGTTTACATGAAGTTATTTCCAAGAATATATAAAAAATTACATCCAAAGTAGTTGTTTCCAAGAAGTTATTTCCAAGAAGTTATTTCCAAGAAGTAGTTTCCAAGAAGTTGTTTCCAAGACTTTGATTCCAAGAAGCAAATACACATTCCATCCAATTGCAAGAAAATATGAAAATTGTACCTGTACAAGAAATTGATCAAGGGTAAAACTAATGATCTTTCCCATAGAATTGTAAATCTATCAAACACACAACAATTTGGCACAATAATTTGAAATTTACACCAATAGTCTGAAGTCATTTTGCATTGAGGCCCATTTTCTACTGGGTGTTGCTTTTTACCCGTAAAAACAGACATGCATGTTGTGTTACATGTCACAATGTACATAGACTTATTAAAATATTACAAAATTTACCCAGCAAGCATTGTGGATCCTCTGTCATCTGTATTCTAACTGACCAATGAGGAGCTTGGAGAGGGTCAAGGTCACTGAAAGGTCAATGCAACAAATTCAGAATTTTTGGGACAAAAATCTATCCTTTCATGTACAATTAAAACACTTTACCTTTGAAAATATTTGATTATTTTTATGTTTTTTATTTCCTTGTTTTGTTTTGTTTTACTTTTTATCAGAAAATAAAAATATTTGTTAATGTTGAGTTTTTTCTTTATTTTGTTTTTCTTTGTCCTTTTTAGGACTTTTGCTTTTTTATCTAAAAAAAAACAAAAAACAACAAACAAACAAATCACTTCTGTGTGGGAACCAATTTCTTCAAAAGGGCACATTTGCTGCATTTGGAACATTTTTAAATTTCAGCAATTTTGAATTATGCTTAAATTGTACAAAAAAATACAATACAATACAATACTTACGAATAGACTTGATTTTCTACAATCATATCCTCAGATAGACTTGGCCATGTGCAGTATAAACTTAAGGCACTGAAAGCCAAATAAATAAATAGATAAATGATACCAGAATATCTTAAAATATTAATGAGTTTATAATCAAAATATTAAAGAAATTATTAATATATAGCAGTTTTAGATTAAAACATCTATGCCCTTGCAGGGGGTACCTTTACCGGATTTGAAAATCCTCAAGTCAAAGTCCTGGCAATCTCCTTGTGGTGAAAGGACTGAGGTGACGTCTGACTTGTGAATAGTTTAATACAATAAAACTTTCTGCATTTTAATCCATACATTTTATCAAAATCAAAGTGCGTGTTTCCAGCTTCAATAACTATACATACAATTCTTCATACTTTATTCTGTATAGAGAAACAGCCCTTCCCTCAAACTGACAAATATTCACTAAATGAAAGACTGTAACATTTATGACAGGATTCCTACCAAATAGTTGTAAAAAGTTGTAAGTACATACCTGACAGGGTCCTCACATGCACCAAACGGCAGCTGCTCAAACCCAGAACATCCAACTTCATCATCAAAGTCTAAATATATAATAACACATTTTATTGGTAAATTTTTTATCAAATGACCATCATTAGCTTTGCCAAAATTTGACACAATTTTTCAGATTTTGTTTGATAGGAAAGTTCCAAGATATGAAAAAGACTAATCAAGGTAAAAAAAAGAACAACAACAAAAATGTAAGATATGCAGAGTGACTATTGCTAGATACAATGTATATACAGTTAAATGGAGCAATATTCTTATTATAAGTGATAATATATGTACACAAGGAGTGATGTTAAAAGTAGATCAATGGTGCTGCCCGGGTGTAAAAAGTCCATGCTTTTCCAATGATTTCCATTGAATATGAGAGGCTGGAGTATTAGAACAAAATTTTCAAGCCTTATCAGGGCTGAGGCTGGAAAAAATGGGCTGGAAAAACGGGGAAAAAACTTGAAACAATTTTCATGCTACATTAAATATTTTCCATGTTTTCCATGAAAAAGCATGGACTTTGTTCCATGCTTTTCCATATACATTACATTTCAAAAGTTTCCTATTGTTTTTATTATAAATCAAACATTGTGAAAGTGATTTATAAACCATATACAAAAAAACTATATCATTCATAATCCATAAAGCAGCCTTAAGCTTTTATCTTCAGTTAGAAAACAATTCTGTGTTGTTTCATACTAAGTATTTTACTAATTCAATATTGGAAAAGTGCATCTCATCATTGTTAAGCCTTCTTCAAAACAACAACCTGTGAGCTATTTATAATGCATCAGTGACATTTGATTCCAAAAATAGAAGATAGGGAAACAAACAAATTGTCCATTTTACAAATTTAGATATTCTAAGAGAGCGGACTGGTATATTGGAGATATCAAGGGGTTTCATTATTTTTTAAGTATATTTTTTGCCGGAAAATATCATTTCCACCTTAATTTTTTTTACTGACAATAATTATGAGTCATTTATCTAAAAATAACAAATTTTCCCTTTAGAAAGCTTAAGGCTGCTTTAACCCTCTGAATATCTTAAATTGAATTGTCCATCCTCTATTTCTGGAAAGTCCATTAAGCATTTTGGGGATATTGGGATGGAAATATAGCGTTGATCAGCAAAAGGGAGTGGTGGCCTAGTAGTTAAGGTGTCTGCCTCTTAACCCAGAGATCATGGGTTTGAGCCCTACTCGCGTCACAACCATGACGTTCCTTCATATGACACTAGTACTGGTTGGTTCCAATCATGGGTTCTAGCCCTACTCATGTCACGACCATGTTTCTTCATGTGACACCAGTTCTAGAAAGCGGACTCGAAAGTGATTAATATAAGTTGCAAGAACTTGTTTCGCAATCGAGGTTTTATGAATATGTTTAAACCAACTGTATAGAACCAGGTGAGACTACACCTATAAAAAGCTGGTTTGCCTGACTCTATACCTGGTTTCAAAGGCTGATCAGTTGCAGCGGGTTAAGGGTTAGAAATTTATATTTATATCTTATTGCATAATGTTAAAAAAAACTCTCACAATCATACAATAAATACTTGCAAAAATGTTAATAATTGTTAACAAATAAATGCATTCCATTTACCTTAAAGTTAAAATAAAACACAAATCAATCAAGTGCTTGAGCAAAGAGACAAAAAAATGCTTTTAAATCTTTTTAAACAAATGATGAGCAGCTCATATATGTAATATCTAGAACAATTTAGCCACGCTTCCATTGTTTTGGTGCTAATTTCCTTTTTCTATTATCTAAGAATTAAATGTACATTTTTTTTGCTTTTAACTATGACTCTATTTGCACCATGCAGTCTTCTTCAGAAAAAAAATTGATGTTTATAAAATAACAAATGATAAATAATATTTTTTTTGTTGGTGCAAACTTTACAATGTTGTGTTGTTGTTTTTAATCAAGACAAACTAAATCCTTATAAGAGTTGTTTTCTTTTTTTTTTGGACTCCAAAACTTAAGCTTAACTGGTGGAAAAAGACCTCATGTGCCCCCCATGTGCCCCTCTGTACATTACATCAGGTACCAGCTAGCACCTGAGTATAACCAATGAAATTCAATAAACTAGCAGGATAGCTTTCGCACATGAACAAATCCAAAGTCCCTTGCGGGATTCAAACCTACTCCAATGAGGGGCTGATGGTTTTGAAGTTAGCAGCCTTAATCACTTAGGTACAAGCAACCCTAAAAATTAATCACTCGGGCATGAACGGACCTAAAAATCAATATCACAGGCATCAAAAATCCCTGGCAGAATTTTGACCCACTGTGATGACGGGCAAATGGTTTTGAAGTCAACAGCCTTAATCACTTAGGTACAAACAGCCCTTAAAAAAAAAAAAAATCGCTCAGGCACAAAAAACCCTTAAAATCAATTGAACAGTCGTAGGTAGACAGGCTTACTGATAAATAAACGATTCATGCTAGGGAAAAAAGCACATATCTTAAGCAAATTTTAGAATTATAGAAACCAAAGAGAAAAACATGCAGCAGCAGCTGTTCTACAAATCTCCCTTACCATTTAACTTTCTCACTTTGCTGCTATGAACTACAATATATATTGTACAAATATTTAACAAACATGCAACGTGAAGGTTACATAGTTAAAGGCACATTATGCCTCATTAATGAATAAATATTTCCTTCTTTAGAAAGAGCAAATGTAAGTTTTATGTTTATAAGGAACTGTGCAGCAATTATCTATATTTCTAATATCAAATTTGAGCATAGTATATCTGAAGCTTGTTTGTTTGTTTGTCTGGAATTTTTCCTCATTTTAACACATTTATTAGTCATATCATAGGTCAACTATTTCACATGATATCTGAATCGGCAATGAGAGACAAATAACCATTAGACACAGTGTCCAAGATTGATTGTCACAGGGAAATTACACATTGCCCGACAATTTAACCAGATTAAAGACAGTAAAAAAGAATCTCTTCTCACAGATGTATTGAAACTATTAGCACTTTTTTATCCTAGAATAATTTAGTGGCACAATAATATAGATAATATACCTGGCAGAGGCTGTGTCCATGGGGAGTTGACCCAGTCATACAGCATATACAGGAACCGGACAGCAACCGATACAGGTGGTCTCGGATCAGCTACAGAACCCTGTGTATAGATTCAAAAAGATAAAAACATTTACAAGCTGTGATTTGTTTGTTGATGTTCCTTAGCTTTTATATCCATGCAACATGATCTATTGGTAATAATCACACATAGTGCGTAACGCATTGTGCGATATCCAAGATAAAGCCTGTTTCTACACAAAAAAAGTGTGCATTATTTCAAATAAAGCATATTTATAAGTTCAAATGGTTCATGTACAGTATCCCATTCCCATAGACAAAACAACATGGGTCTTTTGACTTTATTATAACACAGGCTGTTATTTAAGAATTTTTTCACATTGAGGATTGGCATTGGTTATAAGGTACTGGGGATTTGGCCCACAGTTTAGTAGCATGTTCATCTATAGCATGCTAATAAACATGTCAATACATGTTAAAATGTGGAATACTTTCTCAAACCATCACAATTTAAAATGTCAAAACAAGTTTTCCTTTACTTAGTTCATTCATTTGAAAAACTAATAACACAGGTAAATCATGTAAATACACAAAATGGTCCACAACATTTAGAAGCCACACTTAGCCTGGAAAACAAATATTAAACAATAAAATGTTAATAAATCTTTTTATCACACACCCATGCCGATTTTGGGACTCCGTAAATATGGTATTGCACGGCCGTGCATATATTTTGACGTGACTTCATTAGCGTTATACAAACATAGTGTAAAGACGCGCTAAATGTTAGTGTTATACTATAGACGCGTCATTGAAAAATGACCCTCGTTTCACTTTAACCGGTATTTATTTGGGTATGTGATAAATAGAATATTAGATTCGTGTAAGTTCAATACTGAATTTATTGCACTCGTTGAATAAAAAAAAATTATGCTCGCCAGAGGCTCGCATAATATAATTTTATTCAACTCGTGCAATAAATTCAGTATTGAACTTACACTCATTTAATATCCTCCATATACGATAACTTATTTTGTATGCTATTATAATATCTATCATGTTATTTGATGTACTCACAAGTTTTGATTTAAACACATCTAGAAGTCCAGCAAGATGGTTATACTGAGCTGGTGTCCTTTTTAAATGTACCATAGCAAACTCGATGTTCGAGCCGGGCAACACACAGGTACCCTGGTACAAACGTCTCCATTTCTGATGAATCTGCACAAATACTGGTACACAGCTAGAAGAGAAAAAGGAACCAGTCAACAAAAAAATATTGAGCAAAGCTTAAATAAAAGGAACAAAAGCATTTACAATGTAAATGATATTATAATAATATGTAAGTTAAAACATATTAAAATGCTTATATTCATTTCTGAAACAACTTGGTCACTTTACAAATAATACAGGAATGTTTGTTTGCTTGGTTTTACGACACACCAACACAGCATTGAAATAGAAAAGATGATTTTGGCTAACCGCAAGTGTTACAAACAAAATTTAACTTCAATGCAACACCATGGGGGTCAAAACAACCATCTAAGAGATGCATACACAGACACCAGGTTTTATAACCTTATGGCCAGTACTGGTTAGTTCAAGAAAACAGACTCAAGCGTGATTCAAAGAGACTACAAGATTTCTTCACACTCCAGTGGAAATAAACATATTCGCTGCGTCACGACAAAACCAACATAGTGCGTTTGCAACCAGCATAGATCCAGACCAGCCTGCGCATCCACGCTTACCAACCCTATTACAAGTGGAGAGACTGATAGCAAACAGCATGGATCCTGATCAGACTGTGCCGATGCGCAGGCTGGTCTGGATCCATGCTGGTCGCAAATGCACAAAGTTGGTTTTGTCGTGACGCGGCTCAATCTTTAAACTAAACCAACAACAATATATTACCATCCAGCATCTGTGAGAGCTATGTTTACAGAGGACAGTAAAAGTTTGGCTCGACTCTCTCCTAATACTGCCTCCGTGTTGTTGGTGGGACTCAATGTCACAAAATCCTGAAGGCCATACCTGCAATAGAAACATATATAAACAATGATTAACCCTTATAAAAAATCCCGTCATAATCAACCAAAGAACATCCATCCAAATCAGCCCATAAATAACAAATTTAAATTAGAAATTACAAAAAAGCTTTCCATTCAACTAGCTGTTATTTAGTACAAATAAGTGTCATGTATGTTATCCCAAACACTACAAAAGTGGGTTATTCCGAGCTAATCTCCCCACCCCAAAACCACCCCTAAACTTTTACTGTTTCAGCTTCATGATGCACTACCATTCATAAAAGATTTGTTAATATGTTTATCAATTTACTATAGATGTATATTAATTTAATATACATGTATATTAATTCACTGTATGTATAAAAGTATTTAAACAAGAGAATTTGTAAGGTCAGTATGGGATGGTTCCTCAACCCAGACTGTTCATTTGGACGAGGAGAATAAATGGGGTCATCCTGTTTGTTGAGGCCCGAAAAAAAAAAGATAACCTGTTGTGTTTATTTTTCAGTTGTAACAGTAACAGTTTATTAATACCCCCAGATAAGCTGAGAAAATCATCACACAAAATATTCTGAATTCAGGAGTAACGCTTTTTTAATCCACTTTTATTAGAAAAATACCAATTCGAACCCAAGGGCAATCCATTTTTCTATCCATTTTTTCGATAACTTACACACACAAAGTTTCATTCAACTTAAATCTATTTGAGCTGTGTCATGGCAAAAACCAACATAATGGCTTTGTGACCAGATGGATCCGCGCAGTCTAATCAGGATCCATGCTGTTCGCTATCACTTTCTCTACTTGTAATAGGGTTTGTAAGCGAACAGCATGGATCCTGATCAGACTGTGCGGATGCGCAGGCTGGTCTTGATCCATGCTGGTCGCAAAGCCATTA